CTTCGCCGATTTATCAGCTTTTCAGAAATTTTTGCCTCTGGAGATCGCATCGGTAGTAGAAAGTGATCATAAAAAAGCGAGTTGTATTTTATGTCTCACTGCTTAGGTGTTCGATGCGCTTGACAAGGATCTGGCTTCGTCAAATGCTGGAGAAGCTATGAGAGGAGCGCCGAACCATCAGCCATCTCACGACACTCCAAATGACAGGTGAACTCATTAAATTAGTTTCAGTGGACGAATGGCTAATTGATAATTTGCTGTGCTGCATTTGGTGGGTGACGGTAGATTTTATAGTTGTTGATCCCCATTCCTTTTGTTTTACTTCTGCGTTTGGATTTTGTCGCTTTCTTGGCTGTAAAACCCACCATATGAGTGAGGCTTCTGTATAGAACATTATTTGTTCAAGGGAGCTCGAGAAACTTCGTACGTTCTCACAAGATATTCCGGATCGCGCGGAATTCGCGAAGGCTCACAATCCACCTGCGCTTCCGCCTCATCTTCTTCAGGTGGTTCTTTATTTCAATTTCTTTGGCTTATTGTGGCACTGTTCTCATTGTGACTCAGCTATTTTCACTTCTCTTCAGGAATCTGGAAAGTAGCGCATTCCATTACAGGTCATCCTCAACAAAGACACACCCGTGCAGTGTGATCCCAATGTGCTACCAGAACCAAATCACGTGATGCTAAATCATCTCTATGCTCTTTCAATCAAAGATGGCGTTATGGTCCTCTCGGCTACTCATCGGTAAGATTTTTATCCGCTTACCTGACATTTCGCCCCAGGTTCTACTTCCTTTTAATTACGCCCATGGTGCATGGATCAAGTCTGGTCCGGGTTAACAAAGCGTTCTATCTCTCCTGAATCCATTGACTTGTTCGAACTTCGTCCCTGTAGAGTCGCTTACTTGTAGTGTACTCGTCCTGGAGACGGATATGGTGTAGTGGCAAGTGGTGCGCACACCACGCTCATAGTCCGAGGATAAATCCCGGATCGGCTCCCGTGAAGCCCCCTGCCAAAGCCCCGTTTCCCCCAGGGATGGGGAATTGGTACCAGATTTGCTTAGGAGGATGAAAGCGCTAGCCCTCGCAAGCCATTGTATAGGCTTCATCGCATTGAATAAACTTCTGCGAGTTCGATGGAAGTAGTGTGCATCTTAAAAAGGGCTTTTCCAGCCCGAAACATTATCCTTTGTAGTCGCCAGGAAGCAAAAACTGTCTAGTATGTCGGTTTTCTTCGTAGGTCAGTTGTGTAGGCCATGTCATTGCCACTACGACTGCGAATTGAGCTAGATAAGCTGAAGCTTCGTTCGCTATAAGTGCTATTCAGTTTATGCTCGAGAAAAGGGTCTTAGGCAGCGTTCAGACTTCGCGACGGCAGCTCTTCGGTCGCGCGTTCGACGCGATCGATGCGCATGCTTTCTACTGCATCGATTGCGCCGAACGCGCGACCGAAGCGCTGCCGTCGCGAAGTCTGAACGCTGCTTAAGGTTGCTTTCTGGGCACCTTAGCATTTGGGACCAACCTTTCGAATTTGTGTCAGCCCTCACGCGAAGTGACATATGGCTATGCCATCGAAAGCCCATCAGCAGGGGCTTCTTCTTTGCTTCTCCGAGAGCCGCTTGCATAGGACATCATCACAAATGCAGATCGGCGTATCACTTGCAATGTGGCTCACGCATACAATGACTTGAGTGGGCCAGCCGATGTACAAATCATTACTTTTGTCCTACCAGGCGAATCTGGTACCAATTTACCGTCCCCGGGGTGGAAGGCTTGATTGGGTCTGAGCCTGAGCCGTTACGGGGTTCGACCCCCAGCTCACTGCACCACCTCCACCTCCACTTCATAATATGATGCCATAATGTCGGTAACTTACTCATTGACTTTTAGGTATCGCAAGAAGTACGTGACAACGCTGCTGTACAAGCCGATTTAATGGTTCATGTCATGCGATATGGTTAGTGGAGGAATGTCGGAAGAGTTATTCAGCGATGGGATGGAAGCTTCTTCGACCAAGCTTAGAATATAGCGCCCAAAACGGGTGTAATTCATGTTTCAAATTAGAAAACAAGATGTATGCCTCTTTTATTCAGTTACTATCCAGTTTGTTACTACTGCGCGTTGATGTTTCATCTAATTAGTTTATGTGATTATAAAGAAATAGTAACCGTAGTTTCGCCTGTAGTCGAAAGAATACGATGTTATGTGCAGGATTTTTACGAACTGTTTCCTGTCGCGTGTATATTTGAAAATTTTCTTTCGTAGACTGCTCAGTATTGTTTCCCTATTTAGCGTTTTTGGCCTTGTTCGGTTTAGAGGTGGCGGATGGGGCGCATTTTGCGCTTTCGCTAGTTCATGTTAACACTTTTTTGGTGAGACATGTTAACTCTTGTGAAACCGCGAAGTCGTGCAGGTGAGCAGCTTTGTGCACAAGAGTTTACATGTCTCCGTGTGGGGTGGTCTGTACAAGTTTCTCTGAATTAGAGCCCCACCCCTCTTGCCGAACTGCGCCGCGTTCATTATTGCTTACCTTTGTTATCACGTTGTACCGTACGTGAGGTAAGAGTGGAGCTTCACTGATATTTTTTCGTCGTGCATGTATGAACTGTACATAAAAAGTGTATGTGATCCACAAATGTGTATGACCGCCAAAAATCTGAAAATGTCGGGAGTAATTCTTAGTTTTCTAATTGTTTAGCATGATATTCGACTCGCATGGCTGGCGTTTTAGCAAGAATTAGTAGTGACCTTAAAGATCTGAGCTGAACAGGAGCAGGAACAGAATTTGGTCGGCGAGTGGTCATAGCGCGTCTACACTTCGCCATCGATCGCTTGGAACGCGTATGGTTCCGATCGGTCGAATGAGCGGATTGCTAAGTATGAACGCTTTATTTAGGGAATACATAGTCCGGAGAACTTTCCGCAGAGGAAGAGACTCGTTTTGCAGTCGTGTATGTTGCACAGGTATCTCTGGTTCGGGCGTTCGTGTATGTGACAAGAGAATCGTAACCGCCTTGTGGACGTGGCGTGCGGCGTCGCGCCCACAAATCACGATGGTTACAGGTAGTAGATAGTGACAACAGGCAATTCAGAACCGAGAATGGTCATGAATGTCTACAATGACGGGGTCTACATGAAGTTCGGTGTTCCATTCGACAGGTTAATACGAGTTAAGAAAACGCCGCGCCCATCGCCGCGCGCGGCGGAGCGGCGAACTACGATTCTCTTGCCCGTCTCCCTGGGCGGTCATTGTCAACCGAACTTTTTTCATGGACCTGTTTCTGGGGCGAAGAATTCTTTCTTCGGAGCGTTTATTGCTTTCATTCTGAGAAAATATTACCGTATTTACGCATAGTTAAGGGAAGAATTGGTTTTTATGATCAACGTAATTTCAAGTTTGTTGGATGTTTTCGTAAATAATGATTCAGTATTTTTAGAAATGGATCAGTACATTACTGTTCTGAGGACAAATACGAAAAAGCGAAAATCTGTGGGGAATTTCGAAATGCTCTCAGTTGAAGTTGAGGTGATGTTTGCCTCATATTCATCTTTATTCCTGGTGGATAAGGTTAAAGACTCCTCACTGGCTTGGAGCTGTTGGAGAGTTGTTAAACCTATACTTGTATCAGCGGCGGTGGACATTGCAGCAAATGTACTACTGAATATTGCATGTTAGGTTTGAACGATGAAGAATAGAATTCTCGGCATTACCTTAACCGCCTTTAAGGTGCGCCACGCACTGTATTTGTGGAGAAAATCATGGGGACATGTTGGAAGCAACATGGGTTATACAGTAACTTGCGAGTTACTGTCCAATGTGCAGAACAGTTTTTCGTTCCAGGGAATACACTATACCAATAAATCGATCCCTTAGATGATGGGTTAGCTGGACAAATCTGATACGAGAATTGACCCAGGACTGGGCGAGTGGTAAGCGGTGCCACTTGCGGCTACGCGACCTCCGTCCTTTTGAGTCTCATCTCTAGACAAGCCTTCTCTAAGAAATCCTGTCTGTAAAGCATGGAAAATAAGTTGGATACGAAGCTTTAGAAAAACAGTTGTGGATGCTTCAGGCTCCTTGTCAGTGTCGTGATTTTGTTTCAAAGGGTACGCGTTTTATTGAGCTTTATTTTTTTCCAACAATGGTGTGAGGGAGTTAACAGTGACCAAGGGCCGCCACGTATTTATTCCGCATTCGTTTTCCTTACTGGGTTGAATACGTTGTTCACTACTGAAACAAAGCAATGCGGGGACCGGTCAGCGAAGAAGTAGTGCTCCATCCTACGAGTCGAGACCGGCACGAAATAGATAGAAAGTCAAGAGGCTTGAGAGATTTGGTCCAGGATTCCATCTTCTGAAACGCAGGGGTCTACGCCACTCGTAGCTACCTATTTTCTCTTCAGTAAGTGTTAACACCAATTAATCGGACGACATTTCAGGTAACCGAACTTGCTGGTATGAACACAGTCGTTCTCCGAATATTACCGTTGGATTCCGCGGAGTACGCCATCCTGGTGGATTTCGTTTTGAGTATTGGCGAGGAA